AAAAATCCCAGGCGCATTAACCCAAAAGGTATCGGGCTCATATATATATATATATATCTCTCTCTCTCTCTCTCTCCCCATTATAGTAGTTTCCATTTTCTTTTCCATTATCTCAAAATAACCCCAAATATTACCCCAGTATAACCCAAATATAACCCGTATATAGCCCCTAATGTAATAACCCTAATATTCCCCCAATGGGTTCATGCGTCCGCGCAGCCAGCAACACGGCCAGGGTCACGGCAACAGCTCTCGGCCGGCTTCCTTGATGCACTTCCGCTTACCCTGGGGCTCCATGTTTATAAATGATACCTACATTGGGCCCCAATGTCTATAAATAGTACCTACATTGGGCTACGTACTGCCCCAGGATTAGGGCTTCAGGGTTTTTGGATTTCAGGGTCTTAGGGTTTTCGGGTTTGATGGTCATAGGGTTTTGGGGTGTTCAGGGTTTTAGGGTTTGGGCGGCAGTGTTCGGGGGGTTTTGCTTTTGCGGCTCCAGGGTTTCGGATTCTTATCTAAGGTTGAAACGGCTTTTGCCCACCCTCTACCCTACATGTACCCTTCAGAGTTTCTAGAATCCTGAAAGGCCTAAAGGCCTATACTTACCCTAAACCCAAAACCCTATACGATATCGACACTTCTAATCTTAGACTACGGGGCCTCTACCATGCCCAGCACCGTAAGCACCCAACCAAGGCCCCTTAAACACCCCCCACGCATTGAAAGGGAGTACAAAGTAGGGATTCCCTGAGTCCCCATGAAGGATCACATAAACTAGCCCGCAAAAATCTATCTGGCGGTTTTCGAAACGTTTCTTTTTTTCTACGGCCACGCCAGCATGTCTGAGGATTTTTTGGCCCTTGCCAAACTCACATTTCTGTAGTTCTCGGGCCACGATAGAATATTGTGATGGAGTCCAAGGGCGGTGTGAGCTAGGGCCACGGGGTGTCCATTAGTGTATAGACCTCTGTACCCAATACGGCAACAGCATGACACGCCATCTGCCTTATGTGAAAATCCAGTCTTTGCGTGCTACACAGAATACGACACTTTGGAATTGTTTGCGGCCTATCTGCGGTGCACACTCCTTTGACAACATGTAATATTGAGCGCGCCACTTATCCCCCTGTATATGATGGTAGCATATTGGATTGGCGTGGTTCATTAGTGGGGGGTTGCGGGGAGGCAGTTGAAGCCGTAAACCCCAGACCCTAGAAAACATTGTAGTTTCCGTGTTCTTTCCATTTCCCTATGTCCTATGTACCTCTTCAAGAGTGGGGGAGGGGATTATTAGGGCCTTGAATAGCAGTTTCCATTTCATGTTCCATGTTCTTTTCCATGTGATACTC